TACGGGCTCTCGTGTGTTCTCTGAGACCATGGCGCTGTAATCACAGCGCCACCTTTCTCGGCTGTCAGGAACTACACAGAACAGCTGTTCTGTGTTGAAGGGCAGGTTCCATAAAGAGAACCTATCACATAAGGGATTTTAATCCCCTATGTCAGTGCTCCCCAACCTTTTTATCGCCGCGGACCGGTCAACGTTTGATAATTTTACCGCGGCCCGCTGAGGGGGGGACATTGATTTATATTTTAGATTGTTTTGATTTAATAATTTTAATTTAATTGTATTTAACACCGGGACCGTGCAGTGATGCTGGGGTGCAAGAAGGAGAGAGACTGTGTTAGCAATGTAGGGTGGAGGGATCTATTTCAGTGACATGGAGGTGTTGACGGAGAAAGGAGTCTGTGTTAGTGATGTTGGGGTGTTGGAGGGTGGAGGGGTCTGTGTCTGTGATGCCGGGGTATTGGAGGGCAGATGGTCTGTGTCTGTGACATAAGGGGAGTTTCGAGGGGTCTGTGTCAGTGATGTAGGGAGTAATGGAGGGTAGATGGATCTAGGTCAGTGACATCAGCAGGGTTTGGAGGGTGAAGCGCTCTGTCAGTGATGTTGGGGTTTTGGAAGGTAAATGGGTCTGCGGCACAACATATGGGATGTTGGTAGGTAGTGTGGTCTGTGTCTGTGATGGAGGGTAGCTGGATCTGTGTCTGCGACATCAACAGGGTGTTGGAGGGTGAAGGGGTCTTTGTCAGTGGTGGAGGGGTGTGTGTCAATGTTGCTGGGGTGGGAGGGGTGTGTGTCAATGTTGCTGGGGTGTCGGAGGGTGGAATACAAATTTAAAGAAAATAATAAAAAATATAAAGATTTAAAAAATAAGTAAAAAAATAAAAATGAAATCCTGCCCTCCATCTGCATGCAAATAAACGCATGCGTAGGACATTCTGCATATGCTTTGAGATTGCAGCCGCCATTCCATGGTGGTAGCCAGAATTCTCTTACACACACACACAATGTGCATTGAAGGGTAAGTTCATTTTCCCAGGTAATATGGAAAAATAGAAATTACCCAACTAAATCTGGCCCCGTCTCTTCCCAAACCGCCACCCCCCTGGCTATACTTACCTTTCGGCGAACAATCCCTCACCTCCGCCAGTATGGGTGTACTATCTGTCCCCTGTACTACTGTCCAGCGCAGTCCTCCCCTATGCATTTTGAATTTTGCTCGCAAATTGCAAGCACTCATTGGTCAACGTGGTCAGATGACTGCGCTGACCAGTGAGAAGCGCTATTTAGCACAGTCAAATATGTTTTGATTAGGGGTGCACCGATACTAGTATCAGTGCCGATACCAAGTATTTGGGCGAGTACTCGTACTCCCCCAAATGCTCCGATATCTTCCCCGATATTGGAACTTAACGACCAGATGAAAAGTTCCTCTGACTGGCAGTGCCGTAGGGGAACATGGAGCCAGCTTCCCGTGCAATCAGGAAGCCGTGCGGCAAGTAATGACACGCCTCCTGATTGGCTGGAAAGCCGGCTTCCTGGCCAGTCAGCATCGAGCCAGTTTCCCGGTCAATCAGATCGTTACTCGCCATCCGGCTTCCTGATTGACCGGGAAGCAGGTTTCCCGGCCAATCACAATCAAGCAGGCCAAACAACATGGAGCCGGCTTCCGTGGCAATCAGGAACCTGGGCGGGATGTCCTTACCGGAGCGGAAGCATTGGTATTCAGTGTCGGCGAGATCCGAAAGCAAACAAATCGGTACTCTATACCGAAAAACTGGTATTGGTGCATCCCTAGTTTTGATTAAAACTATTTTTTTGTATTGGGACATGTAGATTTGGCCCCCCTTTTAGCCCTTGGACAAGTCCTTTTTTTTTTTTTTTTGTTTTTTTTTTATTTCCACACCCCTGATAAGCTGTAATTTCCTGAAATTGGCAGACTTTCTTAGTGCCATTTAGGCTGAGTTCACACATGTTAGATTTTGGTGCTTTTTTCTTTATATATTGTAAATCAAAGGAAACAGAGTGTGTGTTGCTGTGTATTTCAAAATAAAGGAATAATGTCACCAGCACACCAGTTTTTGTTAGTCAATGATCCATTTTAATGGCAGTGTATTTCAACTCGCAATGCTCTTTCCATTACACCTCACCGCGTGTTATAGTGCACATTAGTACAAGGGGATGATTGTCATGACATACTTTATCACGCTCATTGAAATGTATCTTGATTAATTTCCATTGATTTTAATGGATACCTCATCTGGCAAAAGGGTGTGAATCCAGCCTCATTGAGCCCTGGGTTGCATTCCACTGCTACCCCCATATTTACACATAAGTGCAAGTGTAAATGTTTCACATATGACATTCTGAGACCGTACCATGTGACCTATTTCGCAGCACAGATCACATCTATTTTAGGGCTGGGTCACTAAAACATAACGCATATGGACTTTTTCTAACTGTCATTTTAAATGTTTGGATGTGGAAAAAAATAGTTAAACTCATTCAGCTCAGTGATTTGAAACTTGTCTCTGTATGATCACCTGAACTAGTTACTTCAGCAGAATGCTTGATATAAAGGGAACATTGTCTTCTGTTTTGCATGATTAGGTTCTTCATTTTGTGGTCACGTATGTAACTTTTCCATGTTTGATTTTAGGTTGACGAGTCTGGAGTAGAAGTGAAGGACATTGAGCTTGTAATGTCACAGGCGAACGTGTCGAGGGCGAAGGCTGTGCGCGCTCTGAAGAACAACAGCAATGACATAGTAAATGCTATCATGGTACGTACATATTCCAAAAGTTCTGGAGCATGTAGCTTGTTTGTGATTTACTTTTGAACTAAAAACAAGAACGGTCCCTTATCTATCAGTGTTGATGATTGTGGCTGTAATGCAATTAACCCTTTTGCTGCCAGAGCAGATTTTGTGGGTTTTTGCACACATAATCCACATTTAGGCCTGAAAATGACTTAATCCCCCAGAATTATATAAATCCTAAAAGCAGAGCCCTATAGAAAAAAATTGCGGCATTTGCAAATGTTTGTTTTCATGATATTGGCTCAAATCTATCACATCCAAAATTTCAGTAAATAAGTTTGTTCGTTTTGGTGAACAAAATCACAATATAATACCCAAGGTTGTTCCAAGTACATAGATATACAACATGGCAAGTTTGCTGGTCTCTCTACATTCTGACACTCGCAATGCCAGTCTCTGGTCTGTAGGAGGGGCAGCGGAGCCCAGGAAGCAAGGCGTTGGGGGGTGGCACATGTTTACCGGTCCCTGGAAGAGATCAGGCGGCTTTATAGCCACCGGTGTAAAGCCCACTTCTGTCGACGTATAACATACGTTGATGGCTGCAAAAGGGTTAAAGGAATAGACCACATTTTGAAATTCCCCATCCCTAAAGTGCATTATTTTTCCTGGGAGCAATGTTTTATCTTGCCAGTGATATACACAGCTCTGCAACAAAGCCAGACAGGTGATATTTTATTTCCAGCTTAAGCAGTATAGATTGCAGCCCCCTCTGACTGCAATCACTGAATTACATACTGTATTTGATACTAGCAGGTAGTTGACTCAGGGCACAGTAAAGCTGAGACCAGGAAGTAGTAGTGATTTTTCTAGCTGTGCCCTGTGGACAAAGGTGTGCCACTTGAAGTTCCTGGAATTTCTACATTTATGTGCTTGAAACATGCAAAATCCCTATGACTGTGTGTAACCTGGTGTTTGTCAGGGTTCTATGTCCGCCCATAAGCACACATTCAATTTGCAGCTACAGAAGTCAAGTTGTTGAAGTGGAGATTTTGCATTACTTTGTACTTTAACACTACATTTTCTGTCTTTGTAGGAGTTGACGATGTGAGGAACCCTCAGACTGATCTCCTTTCGTCTTGCTCTTGGGTTGGTGCAGCTGGAATTGAGATTTATACTATTTCTATTGATTTAATAAACTTGTGGCTTATTGGTGACTTCGTGAAATATTGTGTTTGTATTTTTGAGCATTAGCGTTCTCTGTTGTAGTAGAATCCACTGATACAGTAACTTCGGCTTTCTTTTAGTGATTGTTGTGGATGTTTAAGCCATTATGATCTGACAATAGTATACTTTGAATTTAGAGACAGGTGTGTAGGATGGCATCCATTTTCTTTAACCAGTATTAGCTATGTGAGAAATAGGAGGGTTTGCCTTGCCCAGACCCCATCACCATTTGTGCCTTGGCACTTACAATGCTTTAAGGCTGCTAGCCGTTTTCTGAAAACATTCTCTAGAAACTGTTTTGGTTTGGGTTTTTTTGCATTCATTTTATTTTTTTTAAGGATCTTTGTTTTAAACACAGAAAATAATTCCCCTTCCATGGAGGGATGTACACAATGACGCAATACAAACATGCTCAGCCGAAGGTGGCTAATCCGGTATATTAATAAAGTACATACACATGTATTCGTGCATTTTGCCCACCTCTCAGAACCCAGTCACCAGCAGTGTTCAATCGGGAAAATAACAGTCTCCCCACCGTCAACATCTCAATTCACTTGGACCAAATCAGACCGTGTTTTTTTTTCTTTCTAAGAGCAAAATGTTTTCCCAGCACACTCACCAGCCAGCATGCAAAAAAAACTTGTCTCACCGCTAAGGTTAAAAACAGTGGTTTAGATACACATCTTCTGCAGAAAATGTGAAAGCCACACAGCCGTGTCAAGGCACCTCTATATAACTCTAAACTATGAGAGTCTCCATCTTGGAGCACATGGGGCAAAAGATCAAATTGGGTGCAGGTTTGTCAGGAGGAAGCCCAACCTCCCTTAAAGGCATAGGAACACACAAGGGATCCCGCACATCACAAGGAAGCTGAGACCCCCCCATGCATCACTGCACCAGATCAGTCAAGCAAAACAAATGGCAAACGCACTCATCAATTTGTTACCAGGTTTACAGCAAGGTGCACATGGAAGGCCTAATATAGTACAAACGGCAAAAAGGTTTCCCAGCATGCAAAAAAACCTGTCTCACCGCTAAGGTTAAAAACAGGTTTAGATACACGTCTTCTGCAGAAAATGCAGAGGTGCCTTGATGCGGCAGTGCGGCTTTCACATTTTCTGCAGAAGTGTATCTAAACCTCTGTTTTTTTAACCTTAGCGGTGAGACTAGTTTTTTTGCATGCTGGCTTGTGAGTGTGCTGGGAAAAAGTTTTGCTGTTTGTACTGTGTTAGGCCCATCCATGTGCACCTTGCTGTAAAGCTGGTAACAAATTGATGAGTGCATTTGCCATTTGTTTGTTTTTCTTTCTAAGGACCCCTCATTTCTCGTAGATAATTTTTGCAAAATATATTTAATTTCATTTTCCAATCATTAATGGTAGGAGTAGAACACCACCTCCAGTACAACCATCCTACATGCTGCAAACAAGGCTCTGGAGATTGCCAGAGTCAAATGTGTATCCAGATCTGAGGAGTTGAAGAATCTCAGAATACAGGTAAACAGAGTTTAATGGAATTTAAACAGTGTGACACAATTGTAACTATTGAAAGAAAATCGTATTTTCTATAGGAAATCTAATTGTATCTGCTAAAAGGATTTAAGTTGATCATTAGTGTATAATTGCTTAACTGCAAGTATACAGGATATCTTCCATAGATGAAAATCCTGTAGTTTGCCTGTAAAGATGTAAATCTGCTAACACCCTCTATGTGAAGTATCTGTTTAGGCATCTCTCACATCTATAACATTATTCTCTAAGAGGGAGGCTGTGCGTCTGGCATCTCCCATCCACTAAAGTGTTGCATCTGGGAGGCTAAGAAATAGTCTAGGATTGGGGGCAGACAGATGTACCAAATGCTTTGGGTTTTGAAGACTCTCTAGGTGTATTCTAGACTGTCCTCCAAATTAGATCATGCACAAGGCACTTGGTCCATTTAAAGAATTCCAGATAGGGAAGTTGTGGAGCAGGTAAAGTATTTGGGGCATCCTGGTGCTTTTTAAAAATGTATCCTACCCATGACAGAGAGATGGGGCTTGTAGCATGTATTAAATTTTGCTTTCAAAGTCTGCAATAGGGGAATCAGGTTAAGTAAATTGTTATTAGGAGAAATGTGGACACCAAGATAGGTGATTTGTTGTACAAATTTTAATTTGGACAGGGTATGGAAAGCAATTTGAAAGAGGACCCAATTGAAAGACGCATAGATTTTTCCAAATTTACGGTTAATCCTGAGAAGGTGCCAAACTGACGTAACAGGTGGTTTTGCCCTGGTCATGGTGGACTTGGTTTCCAAGATGAATAATAAGTGGTCATTGGCGTGTAATGCCAATTTTTTCTCCTTGGACCTACATGCTAATCCAACCACACCAGTATCTTGCCCTAGAAGTGCTGAAAGGGTTTCTATGGCAATAATCAAGGGGAAAAGGGGACTTCTGTGTCTAGTGCCCCAATTTAAATTAAAGGAGGATAAAGAACAATTTACCTTGGCCATAGGCTGGGTATATAGGTGCATTTAGAGAAAAAAGTAACAAAACCAAAATGATCTAATATAGCCCACAATGCTCCAACTCAGCGCTCTCAAACACGTTTGCTATGTCCAGAGCGAGTAAAGCCCTGTTACCCAGGTTGTTACCGCTCAAGTCAGTCTCGTCGATTTTGACAGCTGTTGGTAGTAAAGGGGGTGGTAAGGAAGAGAGGGGTCTTTACCGTTCTTGGGAAGTATCACAATGACAGTAGATAGCCAGAGCCCAAAGCAAAAAGTTTTAAGGAAACCAGGTAGGGTTTGTGCACCTCACTAGGAATACCATCTATTACAGTGGACTTAGGAATTATAGCAGCTTTCAATTCCAACAAAGCAATGCTGGCGTTCAGAGCATTTCAGGCATCTTTGGGTAAGGTTGTATCTGAATACCATATAAAACCCTAAAGCTCATGAAAGATATAACTGGCTTTAGACTTTAAAAAAAAAACAGGAGGATACATCCAGATTATTTAAAGATGCTTGTCATCTCTAATAGCCCCAACACATAGCTTTGTCTTGCTTTAAACGAGCAAAATGTGCCAATAAATTGCATGTCTGTTCTCCATCTGCCCAGAAGGATTGCGTTTGACTTAGAGAAGAACTGCTTATTTTGGGGTTTGTGGAAACATCTGCACTGTACTTGTAGCCAGCATGACTGTTACCAGCCATCCTGGTATTAGTTTTAAAGCACGAATATACGTTTAATAAGGACTCAAGTATGACTTCAATGCGTCCCACGCTATGCCCTGGTCAGTGTAGGGCTAATACTTGGCAAGGAACATCTGTGTTTCCCTTTCCATGGGAACCCTAGGTTCTATCAAACTTGGCCAGAATGTATTCAAGAACTATTGCCTTCTCAAATGACACTCAGGAAGTTAAAGGTTAACAATAGGGCAGTGTCTGATAATGCCCTGGGTGGTGTGGACGTAGGATATGTAAGTACTAGTGCCTAGGGTGAAGTCTATATGATAACATTTTGTAAGAATTGAAATTACATGAAAATGGAAAATCAGAGGGATGATTCAAGTGCCATATATAAAAGCGGCGTTTCAGGCAGTTTAGCAAGTAAGGTCTCACTAGGGCAGCTCCACACAAGCAAGCAAAAAACTATCCAATCCTTAATCCATCCCCTTGTTCAAGCCCCTCCCAGCTAATAGTTTTTTTAATTAGTTGGGGGATGGGATATAAATGACAAGCCAACACACATTCCAAACCCAGTATTTTACAATGCATGAACACACAACAACCCAACTTGTTAAATTTTGGTTGTAAGGAAAATTACACCTTTTTATGGACTAGAAGGGTCACACCCTGTGCATACAGTAAATTGAGAATTTATTTTCATGATAACTACAGTGTTCAAAAGTTAGTGTGGGTTTCTTGCAACCAAATCAGCAGCTTATCATAGGCATATTCAAATACCAATCCTCTCAATTGAGTCCCCTTAAATTTCAGGAAATTACTTTTAACATCTGAGCAGTCATACTGAAAAGTCCAGCATGACGAAAAGGGAAATTATTACAGCCTGCCTGGAGGCAAAATCGGGCTAGAGCAGAGATCTAGATTCAGGCAAAGAAAGCAGCTACCAGAAATCCTCAGCAAAAGCAGCTTGCACATACATGAGATCTAGCTGTTCTTACATTAAAATGTATGTAGATGAGTCTGGAAGCAAAACAAACCACATTGAGAACATACCAACAGCAATAGACCGGTGCCAAAGGCTGTGGGTCATTCACAAAGTTGAGTAAAAGTCAACCAAAATAATAGGAACCATTTCCAGGAAGACGGGGGCTCCTTGAACAAAAAAATGTAAGCATGTCACAGTCAAAAACCTGTCAACCTTGATGACAGGATTTTTGGAGCCATTATTGGAGATTTCCCCAGTCATCTTCCAGGACAGCCCATGAGAGAAGGCTCCGCCTGCCTGCAACAGAAAACACATCAACCACATTAAATAAAAAGACTCCTCCTTCCATTCCAATTCAGTTTTTTTGTGTTTCCTCCGAGTACACAGGGACATTGTAATGTTTGTTATTTTGGGCTCATTATTTGATTGCCTTAGGGCAGAGCCTGCATGTGTTGGGACCACTCCGGGCATAGCCTGCTGCGGCGCATACAGGGTCTTTTCCCCTACCGAACCCCCATCCGAGTTGGCCGAGGTTCCCCTCCGTCGCTCAGGGAGGGAAACCATCCTCCTGACGTGAGTGGCTCCAGACGGGGGCCCCCCCCCCCCTCCTG